ATCACTGAGTTCTGGGAGCTAAAAGGTTTTTGAATATCATTGCATGGGTACAGTTCTCCCCATCTGTTTCTGGTCTCTCTTTCTTTTCCTAGAACAATTGTAACAGAAGCATTTTATTTATGGAAGCATTTAGCAGGAGGTTCCCTGAAGTATGAATGATTTCATTGAAATCACTAGGACAAAAGGCAGGTGTTCCATGGGTTGCACCAGGACACCTATTCTGAGTTGGCAGCTCACTGGGAGTGAGAATCAGCTTGCAGTGCCTACATGAAAATTATACTTGGTTCTGCTAACACCATGAAAATCTACTCTGAGTCCTGGAATCAGTTTTGGCCTTTCACTTGGCCATCAAAATCCCTTTTCTGTTTTGTTTTTCATGGCTGCATGCAGTAATTACAGTCACATTTCCATCTCTTCCTTCTCCCCACCCCACTCTCTCCAATAAGGAACCATTTGTACAACTTGAAGATGATTGTTTTTTGAGAATGTTGCCAATATAATCTAAAAATCCATTGAGTTTCACTGCAGTCAGAAAGTTGTGCATCCTCTTTTGTATCCAAATCCTCAGAGCCTTAGGGGAAAAAGCCTTTGAAGTGAAATGTAAAAAGAATGTTAATGGTTTATGCAGAAAGACAGAATTTGGAGGGGATGAGAAAGGAGAGAGAGAAACAAGTATGATGTGCTTTTTGCAATTGCACTGATGGCAAATGTGGCACATAAATTCTGTCTTTCCTGATCACCTTTGTATCACCCCACTGGTTTCAGTGTCTTGAGTTGTCTCCAGGTGCTGCCACAGTGTTGGTGCTGTGGAGCACTTGGATTCCTACCCAGTGTGCACATGGAGATGTGTAGGTGTAAAATCTTGCCCAGCTGTACAAACCAAAGCCTTGCGAGACAGTGAATCCTCCCGATAAATCCTGAGTTTTTCAGAAAAGTCTGCTTCTTTCCTTCCATGGTGGGATGTTTCTGATAACTGCCTTGTGTCTAAATGTTTTCATGCTCAGCTAGTCCAGCTTTCATTTTACCTTGTTTGTATTTAAAGAATTTCTGATTTTTTACTTCTCTTAAATAGACTGGGAAAAATTGGCATTTCTGTAGTTTCTGTGAGAAAGGGGTTTTATTTTCTGTTCTGCTAGTTGTTGGTTCTGCTCTGCAGTGCTTCATCATCTGTCATTCCTGGAGGGAGAGGGGATGATCAACTCCCTGTCCCTGTTAATGGGAATGGGGAATGCTTTGCTTTCCTGGTAATGTTGGTGCCATATCACCAGGACAGGGTATTGATTTGCTTGACTGCTGGTGTGTGATGCATGACAGAAAGAGAAATGGAACTTTGTGAACGTGGAGTAAATGGTGCTGCTGCTGATACAGAACTGATTGAGGGAACAGCAATCAATCAGATTCTCTCTGCTGGTACCAGTGCTACCTTCAGGAAACCAACAGTTGTTTCACAGTTTAAATCAAAGAGTGTCCTGTGCTTAACTCGGATTCTTACAAAAATGACTTGGAGAATTTTTGGGTTTAGTCTGCTTTGCTTTGTACCTTATCAACATGTGATCTGATAATTTAGAAATCTTGAGCTGACATTCACTAATTCTTCTTTTTTCTTGTCAAAGAGCCACAGGTTATTTTTTCTAGATTGCTTATTACTATTTTAAATTGGTTGGTCTTTAAATAATTTTAACTTGTAAATAGAGTTGGTTTTAGTCTCAAATATCTGCAGAAGGAGTTTATCATAGCCATAGATATTTGGATTTCAATATCTGTAAAGCATCTACTAGAGACATGAACAGGCCCATTCTCTCTTCTGGCAGATATTTTGCAGGTATTAGACTTATAGCCAGTTATCTTTGGGTACTTTAGCAGTACACAATAGCATTCATGCATAGGTGACTGTAATGTTCTTTTCTCTCCTCCTCCACCTTATGAAATGAATGGGATAATTTATCCTTTTTGGAAAGAGAGAGAAGTGTTTTAGTGAAAGCTTAAAGAGACTTCCTGAAATTCCTGGATTGATCCCTGCTCCCAAGTCCTGTCACTCAGGGTGGTCTCAGCTCAGCCTTTGCCCCGTGGAAGCCCCTGAGCAGCAGGAATTCTGCACAGGAATTCTGCACAGCTCCTCCCAGAGCCCCCAGAGCTGCAGTTTGGAATCTTTGGCTGGAGTTTCAAGGGAGTTCATTTCTGCTCAGGAGGTGGTTGGGGATATGTGCTTGGTATTCAGGCTGTGGGAGTGCAGGGAGGAGCTGAACCACGTCTGCCTGGGAGAGGTTGGTGCTGCAGCCCTTGGCAGTCCTGGAGTTCTCCCTGTGAACCCTGGGATGATCAGACCAAGGCCAAACCTTCCCAGGCAGTTGGACAAAATAGTTCTACGAGCAGATGTTCTAAATAATACAGTAAAATAAAGAGCCATTTGGGCTTTTTATAAACATATTTTCTCTTACATAGAAAAATGGCTTTTTCCTTTCTGAAATTTATTTTAGCATTTGTTTTTTCAGAAACGAAAATAAAAGATTGATTTATTAGTTGGGAAGTCTATCAGTTAGATTACCTCACAAATAAATAAATTACCTTTGTTAATCCCACCAAGTTCAGTAAATGGTATTAGAATTTGGAACTTGCTGTTGGAGGGCAGGGTAGATTTCAGACAGAATATCAGCAAAACTTGTCCATATCACAAAGGGTGAACCCTTACAACAAGGTAATATTACTCTCCCTAAACTCTCTAAGGATCTTCTTTTATACTTTTCATAACATTCAGTGCAGTAAGTTGCTTTTACAACTCAAGATCAACCAATTTAATCATTCTCCTTTATTTTCGATTTTATTTTTCTCTCTGAGAGCCCAGAGCGAGACCTGACAAATATAAAGTATTGATTGACAAGGAAACAGGAGTGAGCTGTCTGCCTGTTCTCTGAAGGTAGACCTGTGAGCAGGCAGGTGAAAGGTGCCACGACAAGCTGAGGGATGTCAGATCTGCAGAGTCTGCACGTCCCTCCCACCACGACACCTGGAAAAATGAGCCCAGAACTGACTGCACTGAGTGCAGCATTTGTGCTTCACACGGTCAGGGCACAAATGTTCTCCCCTCAGCCAGCCTGTGAAGTGGGGCTGTGCTGCCATGAGCACAGTCATTAGTGAGCTCCATCCCTGTGCCAGGGATCTGCCTGGAAAAGGGCCTTTTACAGCAAATGAAGGAGCTCTTGCAGTGTTTAAAATCCAGTATCCTGCAGGAACTGCCTGTCTACAGCCAGTGCCCCAGTACTGACAGGAATTTCCCTTCCCTTCCCACTGCTGCTCCCCTGGGAGAAGGGGCACAGGAGGGGAAATATTCCCATTATGGAAGGTGAGGAGAACCTTCTTTCCCTGCAGGATTTGGGAACGTGACAGAAGCTTTTGTTATCGACAGGTTCAGTGTTTGCTGGGATGCAGCTTTTCCAGGAGTGCCCTGAGAACCCGGGGGGGCCAGGCAGGAGGAGACCTCACCCCTGCAGCCCAGGGAGGGTGGGGGAGTTGCCAGGGTGGGACCTGAACAGAGTCACAACTTGGCAGAAATCTTCACCACGAGAAGCAGTTGGCCTAAAAAAGTTAAATTAAAGACTAGAATTTCTTGTCAAAGGTTCTCAAGCTGTGTTTCATAGCTCAAGTCTGTTAGTTCAGAAACTGCAGTAATCTCAGTGACAAGTACAACTATTCCTCTTTTCTTTAAACGCTCAATATTTTCTCAGTATTTCAGGTCATTTTCAAGGAAGCAAACTTTTTAAGTGTGCTGCTCTTTTATTGTGTGCCTTTTGCTGTCTTTGTATTGGAGGGAAATAGAATGATGTGCAGAAACAGTTTTATAGATTCTGTGCATAGTGCATTATTCCTTGAAACTAAGTGGTATTTGAGCAATCTAAAATGGTGTTTAGTGTATAATTTTGTCCTTTGTGGATGAGAACTTAAAATCATGATTTTATATATATATATATATATATATATATAAAATTTTATTATCTCTGTTTCCAAAAAAGTCACAGTCATTATTTGATGTTTGAATTATTTTTATTTGCAGTTTTCAATGACAAAAGTCTTTAGAAGGCTACAAACATTACTGAATATCTTATTTCCTGGTTTTGCAACAGATTTATTTCTGATGTCTGTCCACCAGCTCTGGAGTGTGCAAGCTGGCTCAGCTGCCAGCTGGTCTGGCAAACCCAGATTCCTATTTCATGCACATGTTTGTGACTGTGTGAACATGTGTTCTGGGGTGCTCTTTGGGTGGGGGGATTTTTTTGGTTGGTGGTTTCTTGTGGGTGTTTTTTACCAGTGATGGGTGTTGCTGCCTCTGCTCCAGTTGCTTCTTCCAAGCCTCCCTGAACGTGGCTGTCTTTTATTGCATTCAGGCCATTTTAGAAAAAGGATTATGCTGTTTTTACAAGTAAAAACTAAATGGGTTTGAACTGGAGTTTGTCCTCTTCATTCACAGTCTGGTTACAAACACAGAGCACACTGAGCCAGCTGTATGTTGAATTATCACCTGTGTTACTCTCACTGTCCTCTCTTCTCCTGTACTGACCATGGTCCACCAGGCAGAAAAGCATCTCTTTCAGGGCACCAGGAGGAAATGATTCTGCTGCCAGTGCCCAGGGACAGAAATTGCAGCAAACTCCTGCTATTTTATCCAGCCTTGAGATCAGAAGTTACTTTAAACTGAATGTACATTGCTATCTAGAGATGGGATGTGTGTAGGTAGTCTTAATTTGGTTTTAAAGGTTTGTTTTACTGATATATTCATGTAATATATCTTAAAAAAATACAAACCCAACAAATATTATAATACACTAAGATTACCTTTTGAAATTATATATACAATGACCTGTGTCTGTATGTTTTTTACATACTGTGTTATAAATGGTTTGATTTTCAAAATATATTTGAAGTTATGCTTTGAGTGAATTGTCTGGACTGTTCTCTGTGGTGTCAGAAGAGCTGTGGATGTTAATTGTCTGCTCCTGTTTTTGTAGATGGCTACACCACAGATGACATTGAGTTTTACTGGCGTGGGGGTGATAATGCTGTCACAGGAGTGACCAAGATCGAGCTGCCCCAGTTCTCCATTGTAGACTACAAGCTTATCACCAAGAATGTTGTTTTCTCTACAGGTTCGTGGAGGGAAGCTAAAAGGGGAATTGGCTGGGAAGACTTTTAGAAATGGGTTAACTCACAATGTGCAGTTCAGGATCAGAGCAATAATTTTAGAAACAGGAGTAAATGAGAGCAGCAGCTGTGAATTTTGGAAGGGGAAGGTTTTTACAGCTCTCTGGTGTCCATTCCCCTCTGCAGAGGGACAGTCATCTGTCATGTTGAGGCTCATCAGATGAGCTGTATTTTCTGTTTTCCTGTGACATCTGATTAAGCCACTTACACACCTCAGTGTATCAGTGTGGCCATAAACCCAACCAGTCACAACCCAGCCTGCAGGAAATTAGGAACCTTTTCCTCCCTGTTTCTGGATGTTCCTTTTACCAAGCTGTGGATGTATTGGATAATTATTTTGTCATCAGTGTAAAACCTCTGAAGTCCTTGTTCCACAGGATTTTCAGTTTAGCCTATTCTGGCAAAGTGTATGAGTTTTTGAAGGCTGAAAAGATGCTGTCTGAGGAGAAGGAGAAAATCAAATTGGACCTTAAATTGTTCAAGAGAGGCAAGAGTTGGGTTGGGCTGTTACTTTGTGATGTTCTCTACCCACTTTGGAAACCTGTAAGTGTGTTTGAAAAATTATCTTCAAAACTCAGATATGGGTAGAAATCATCTTTGACTGTAGAAAGATGGTGCATCCCAAATTCTTCCAAACCAAGCAGAAATGGGACTTGAATAATGATTTCTAGGCATCCATTTCAACAGGTGTTTCATCCAGTAAATTACTTGTGATATCCAGAGACAAAAGACAGGTGTTGAATTTCTGGGAGAGAATGAGGGTTCCCCTGAAGTGGGCACACCACAGCCTGCCAGGAAACAGGCACTGCTGTGCTCTCTTGCTCTGACATGTGTTTTGGCTGTTGATTCTTGGACATTGTGATACCAGCAGAGATGCACCCAGAGCATCCTTGTACCCTTAGAATAAAAGATGCTTTAATCCTAGTTCTTGCTAGAAATTCTGCAGCTGATTATCCTGGATCTTTCAGCTCTGAGTGTACTCTATGTTGCATGAAATAATAAAACCAGAATGACAGGAAAATGATTTCAGGCTTTATACAAGTAAATTACGGCCATGCCAAATATTCTCTTTTAGGTGCCTACCCAAGGCTGTCTCTCAGCTTTAAACTTAAGAGAAACATTGGCTACTTCATTCTGCAGACCTACATGCCTTCTATTCTGATCACTATCCTCTCCTGGGTTTCCTTCTGGATTAATTATGATGCTTCAGCTGCAAGAGTTGCTTTAGGTAGGCCTGTTTACACCTCTCCTGCAGTGTGCATTAGCTGAGTGTTTTCTGGCTTCTGGCTTAGTGGATAGTGCATGAGCTGAAAAAAAATTCTGTAAGATATTTTATGTCTGGCTTGTTAAACTTTGTATTGTTTGAATCAGCATTTAAATCGTCACAATTTAAATAAAAATGAAAGGGATTTAGTGTCTGAATGAGCTAACTGTGTAATCATTGTAACCAGAATTAGCCTGAGTGTCTCCACATCTTCTGTTCTTTTATTGCTTGTTTGTCTCCAAAGAGACTGCACCTGGTTTGCTTTTGCCCATGGCAGGCCAGAACACACATTCAGCTCTGTGTTACGGATTATAAATTGCTTTTCCTTTCAGGTATGAATTAAATAAGGTTTTACTAGGCTTCTGTGGCTCACTTGTCCTTGAGGGATGAAGCTGCACCTCAAATACTGTGTCCAGTTCTGGGCCCCTCAGAATTGACTTCAGGAAGGACATTGAGGGGCTGGAGCAGGTCCAGAGGAGGGAACAGAGCTGGGCTCAAGGTTGGACTCAACGACCTTAAAGGTCTTTTCCAGCCTAAATGATTCTGTGATTCTATGGGTTTTTTTTCCTTACTGTTACCTTACATTCCAAATTTGTTCCCCTAATTAATCTCTGGAGTACTCTCTTATCTCCTCACTACTCCCATGTTTATACTGAGCCCCTCATCAGAGGATCCAAGCATGTTGCAAAAATAAATATCTGTATCTGTTGCCAAATAGGTACAGGTAAATCAGTGGAAATCAGACTGATTCCTGCCAGTACAGATCTTGTATAGCTAAAACAAGTAAACCCCCATAAAACATACTATTGAGAATCTGACATTTTAACCTTAGAGAATAGTCTGAGCTTTACCAGCCTTTCTGTGTGGCATTTTCCCTTAAGAGTTTGAGACTGCAGATATCCTGAAAATGCCCGAGTAAAGCAAGATAACAGTAACTGCAGCCTGGTAATTTAGAGCTGAGACTCGTTCCAGAAGGTTGCTGGAACCCTGTTGCAGAGGCCACCAGATTTGTCAGGCCCAACTGGCCCTTAGTGAAGCCGTGTTGGAATTGTTCAGCCTGGAGCAGGGAAGGTTCCAGGGAGATCTTAGAGCACCTTCCAGTGCCTCAGGGGGCTGCAAGAGAGCTGGAGAGGGACTTTTTACAAGGGCCTGGAGTGACAGGACAAGGGAGAATGGCTTTAAACTGACAGAGGGCAGGGTTAGATCAGATCTTAGGAAGAAATTCTTCTTCCCTGTGAGAGTGGTGAGACACTGGAACACGTTACCTGGCGTTCTGGCTGCCCCATCCCTGGAGCTGTTCAAGCCAGGGTGGATGGAGTTAGGAGCAACCTGATCTAGTGGAAGGCTCCCTGCCCATGGCAGGGGGGTTGGAATGAGATGGTTTTTAAGGTCCCTTCCAACCCAAACCTTTCTAGGATTCTGTGAATAAGGACAGAGTTTGGAGATGTCTTTTTTCCACCACAGAAAAAAAAAAGTAATATTTTTCAACTCTAGCGTTTGAATATTGTGAACTATGCTAGGAAATTAAAATCATTTCACTCACTAGACTTGTCACTTCTTCTTTCCAGGAATCACAACCGTGCTCACAATGACAACCATTAACACCCATCTCCGAGAGACTCTTCCCAAAATTCCCTATGTGAAAGCCATCGACATGTACCTCATGGGCTGTTTTGTGTTTGTGTTCATGGCCCTGCTGGAATATGCCCTGGTGAACTACATCTTCTTTGGCAGAGGCCCCCAGAGGCAGAAGAAGGCGGCGGAAAAAGCCGCCAGTGCCAACAACGAGAAGCTGCGGATGGACGTCAACAAGGTAACTGGCTGGGAGGACTGGGAGCATCTCCCAGCAGGGCAGGTCCCACTGCTCCAGGCAGGTTAAAGTGTCCTTTCTGTAGAAAACCAGTGCAATTGTGTGACCTTGTCCTGGCTCTGCAGAGCAGTGGGTTCAGCCACCTCGCAGTGACCGCTGCCCTCTGGCCTGGAAGGCTCAGGGACTTGTTTCTGAAGCTTTACTGGGAGGTGGTTTCTTAGTCAGGATGCAGAGTTAAATACCTATAATCTGTTTCCAAAGGAAAAAAATCCAAAATGATGGCTGTAGCTGATATTTTAGTAAGAGCTGTATGGAACGTTGGAACTAAAACCTAAATTTAACCTGCTTTCATAAATCTTTCAGAGGAGCTGGATAAGAAATATTTGCTGCAGAAGTGTTTAAAGCTTGACAAGTTTGCTTTTTTTCAACATATAATGGCCCAGGATACTATTGACTAAATGAGGAACTGCTCAGAAATAAAGCATCAACGTGCTGTGTACTTAATTTTGAATCTAAAAATGGTCCCCCAGGGAGGGAGAATTGAGGCAGAAAAGACATTTGCCAAGATACACACTTTGGGAAAAGAATCCATTATGCTTAATGAAAATTGGGCACTTATCATAAAGCATTTGTAATTTGTCACTCTGACCATTTTGGATGAGTTTTACACAGTGGCAAATCTGGGCTGAATGCAAAAATGTACTCAGTGTGAAATGTAGAACCTTTCACACACATGCAAAATTGGAAAGTTAAATAAAGTTAAATTATCTTTGAGGGGGTTTTTGTTAGTTTGGGGTTTTTTTTGTTTTTTTGTTTTGTTGGGGTTTTTTTGTCAAGGGAAGCTTTTTGAATTTGTGATTCAGCATGATACTCCAAGGAGAAAAAAAATCAAAGAATTAAAAAACAAAACCAAATTAGAAAAAAACCGAGGGATTATTTGTGAGTTGGAAACATAAGTTTCATACAGCTTTGGAATGGAATTTCTCATGTTTGTTCAGAACTTCTACACTTCTACACACATCGTGTGCCTGCAGACAGAACATTTTGTTCTGTGTTTGCTGCAGTAACAAAAACCCATCACATGTCGATAGAACAAAACAGTTTTGTAGGTTATAGTTTGTAGCCTTTTAAGATGGAGAGTTATGTTGCCTTGGCTCCGATCTCACCCATTCATTAGGGTTTCCTTTAATTTTTAATTAGAAAGAAACATGTTTTAATGAATGGAGGCAAATGGATAACGATGAGATTAATTTTGATGTTATGTTAACAGAGATCATCTTTTACCTCCGTAAAGTTCGTCTTTTTCTTTCTATTGGTGATTTTTCAGCAATGAAAAAACAAAGCTGTGAGGTTTTATTTAATTTGTCAAGTTGTATTGGGTTTTTTTATTCAATTTCCCTTTAATTTCAATTAAACAATCAGTGCTGTGAACTACCCTGTAAGTAATTTCGTAAGACTAGATCTGCATTTAGCTGAAGTCTTTCCTCCAGTATCAGTGCAAAGTGAAGGTCCATGGGTGTCAGAGTGCCACCACTTGCTGAGGTGTATTTTTGTACAGTGCAGTGAGCAGAGCAATTAATTCCAATAACTGTTGTGGGAATTTGCCTACAGGATTGACACAAAGTACTCTGGGAACAACTTTATTTAGATTTTTTTTGTACTGAGCCTTTTACTTCATATCCTAGGCCAGCCTGGTTCACAGGGTCTGGCAGTTCTGCCCTGGTACCCAGATCCCCTCTGACCTGAGAAGCAGGTTTGCAGCCCTTTGAGCAGTGACAGGAGAGATGAGAGGCCACGTCCTGCTGCTCTGGGAGAGGAGAGGAGCCAACAGCTGCTCTTGTGTCTGACCAACAGCAGGAAATCAGATTCATATCTAATGGACCTGAATATTTTATCTATTAAGGGGAGCAAAATATTATATAATTATTTTCATGTATAAGAATTAGAAATGGGCCTGAACTGCTGAATTTAGTTCAGATGCAGTTGTCCATAAAAGCCAAAGTCTTTTAGAAATGGGACCAAATGAACACTCCACCTGTAATTAGGAGAAGGTGCTGGAGAGACTATGGAACAGTGCAGAAGCACAAGAGAAGCTGGTTTTCCAGGTATCTGCTGGATCCATTGGAATCCCTTGGAGATTTGGTGACTCAGGGGGGGATGTCCTGGCTTTCCATCAGGGTGGCTGCAGAGCTTCCCCATGGCTATCCAGTGGGAAACTGTGGCCAAATCCTTCTTCAGATTTCATATCATATTCATATCAAATGCCAAATATGGGAGTCTGGGGTTTGTTCTGTTTTGTTTTTTTTTTAAATCATAGACTAGTTTACGTTGGAAGGGACCTTTAAAGGTCACCCACTCCAACCCCCTGCAATGAGCAGGGACATCTTCATGTAGATCAGGTTGCTCAGAGCACTGTCCAACCTGACCTCCAATGTTTTCCAGGGATGGGGCATCCACCACCTCTCTGGGCAACGTGTGCCAGTGTTTCATCACTCTCATTGTAAAAAAATTATTCTTATATCTAGTCTGAGTCATCACAGCAGATTGTAACTTCATGTACTCCCTGATTTTCAAAGATTGTTGGACCTGTTTGGGGTAAGGGAGAGGAAGAGAAGGAACTGGGCTTCTATCTTGAAACTGGAGTAATAAAATCATGGAGAAATTTAAAGAACATAAAACTCCAGGAAGATTCAGACTCAATTACCGGCAGATATGTTACCACAGACTTGTTAAATCATATTGGCCTTGCTTAATTTTCTTTGCAGGGAGTTCAGAATAAAATGGCTTGAATATCATCATTCCACCCATGGAACCTCTCAAGCTGCATCCAGCAGTTTGTTCCTTTACTCTGAACTCACCATCTTTTGCCTTTGCCAAGGCTAATTTTTCTCTGTGTAAACAGTGGTATTGTTGTTTACAGATAAATCACTGGCTTTCTTCTCACTCGCCAGCCTTCCTTTACTGGAGAAACCATTCACACCATTTCCTCACCTCTCTTTTCAAGTTTATCATCTTATGTCTTCAAATGCCTTTATTGCCTCCATAGTTTCAAGTTTCTTAATCTCTTCTGTTCTGAGTGGCAGAGTTCTGCAAGAGTGAATAAGGGTAGGCAAACTGGGAGGGTTGTGTTTCTGCTTGAAGGCCTAGTGTGCCATAAAGGAGGGTGTGTGTACTCTGAGTGTATATTCTAAGCCATTGTTATCCCCTTTTTATTCCTTGGACTTCTGTGTTTTAAGTAAGAATGTTGATGGTCATCAGCAACCTTTTCATCCTTTGTAGGCACATTTCATTCTATCTTTTCTTTAGGCTCAGGGCACTAATCTAATATATTGTCTGTGATTCCTCAAGATGATTAACAGATATGTGAAATATAGGGCCAAATTCCAGCCTCTGGCTTCCCAGTATTCTTCAGCTGACTGTCCTCCTGTGGGTGACTGCACTTCCCAGAAGTGGCATTGTGTTTTTCATGTGTAATACCTCTGGAATGTGGTTTGAGTTGGATGCAGTTGCAGTAACCATTGAATCCTACATGTTTCCAGCCTGGCTCAGAGCACAGGGAGTGCTGCAAGTGCACAGGGATGTACCTGCAGTACCTGGTAACATAAGTTACAGATAAAACTACCTCTGATTTTGCAATCATGCTGCTCTTATTGTGAGCAGTAATAAAGCAACTTTCCTGTGGAAAAGAGGGGAAAAATGTCAGTGTGTTATGCAACAATTCATAAAACTGTTTATACAGATTTATTCAGTCATTTTTTTTTAAGAAATGTGAAGTGACGTTGCTAACCTCTGCATGTTTAGATAAGGTTTCTTTTCTGAACACAAATACTTTTTTTAAATATACTGAATGTATTTTTAAAACAATGAGTAATTCTTTACTCAGTGGTCTTTGTATTAGGTGAGGTGTTCAGGCAGGAGGCAGTGACAGGGCATTGCTGCTGCACAGTGCAAGTCACAAACGTGGGAAGTTGTCAGACTAATGACATTTTCCTATCCAAAATTTGGATACCAAGTAAAGAACATGGAACTTCAACATGATAATTAGATTAAACAGGGTATTAATAGATTTGAATACAATAGAATTGTACTTGAAAAATTAATGTAGGGCTTAGGGAGCTAAGAATGTTTAAACAAATACAGGTATCTTTGCAGTTCATTGCCCTACTGGCCGACTGTTGTTATATCTGGATTAGAACAGAGTTGCTGAAGGACTTGAGATGGCAAGGAAATAGCAAACAGGAGCTTAACCCACCCTTAGCTGCTCTTCACTTGGTATCTTTCTTCTCCTTCAAGTTGTCTCAGCTGCTGAATTTTTTTTCCCTGCAGCTTTTTGACCAAGGAGAAGAGTCTGACCAATTTAGCTGGAAAAGTTGAATAGTTCTCCTCACATCTCTCATTTTTAGGGGACTGCCCTGCATTATCAGAGCTCAGAGGCAAAAAGGGCCATGCAGTGACCTGTTTCAAAGGGATCACAGCAGTTATTTCAGTGTGAGCTGGGCAGGCTGAGGGTGGGCAGCATCTGCCCGTTGTACAGCAGGGAAGGGGCTCCCAGGGCATCCTCCTTGCCCAGGTGCCTGTTCAGAGTCACTGCTGGTGCAGGACACGGGCACTCTGTGTCCTGGGCCAGCCCTGCCCTGCATTCCAGCACTCCTGGCATGGCCCCCTCAGCTCCTGTGACATGGCCCAGCACAGCTGCCAGACTTCTCTGGGCCACTGTGCTGGGGAATAACTGCAAGAGCCTGGGTGGATTTTTCATTGTCATATCCATAGATGTCTCTTTTGGCAGAGAGGGCTGGAATTGGGTGAAGGAGTGTGTTATCCTGAGCCAGAGTGGGTGCACTGCTGTGTAACTGTGGCCCTTTGCAGGCAGACATGTGGTGCTTTCAGTGCCCTGCAGACAGCCAGGGTCACCCTCCTCAGCTGTCACCCTGGTGTGAAGGTGCGTTAGCAGGGCTGCAGATAATGGGCCTTGCTCCAAAGCAGTGCTCCAGAACAGTTAGGCC